TAATAGACTTGTAATGGTATGCTTTAAGACGTGACGTGAATCAAAGTTGTTGGGTCGAAGTCATATGTGTTTAGACGCGTCGGTGACGAGGTTGTCATAGTAAGTGACAACGGGTTTTCAAAGGGAAAGGTGTTGGTTTTAGGGTTGTAAAATTGCAGAAAATTGAAAGGGAATTACAATGATGTTTTTTTTTGTCAATTTTTGTTATTAAATGAATCTTTGTCAAAGATGAGTTAATTCAAGATGAGTTTTTGTTATCTTTTCACTTTAGATGATTAATTTTTCAAAAGACTTTATTAACTTTAAAAATTTTATTTAGTTAATTTTTTAAAAGAAAAACTTTATTGGTTAATTTGCTATTTAACAATTATTGTAAATTTTCATTAGAAGAGAAGATGAACTTCATGTTTTAATTCAGTGTAATTCGTGAAAATTCAAGTTTAAGAGATGAATCTTTTAACACAGATGCTAGTTAGGATGCCACATACACAAAATGTAACTCTGTTAAAGGGTAAATAGACGAAAATGACTAATGTGACCTGTTTTAAAAAGTTGAATTATTAATCTAAATATTTTTAAAGTTAAAGGACTAAAGTAAAACCGTAAGTAAAAATTACAGAATTAAAAAAAGATATTTTACCTTTATTTTTTTAACACCATCAAATTTTCTCGGAGACTTGTCATTACCTCAACATATCCGGTTACAACAACAAAAAATTATCTCAAATTTTTATCATTTAATAATATTAATAAATATTAATATTATTTAGTTAATTTAACAATAATATTTATTATTATTTTTACTATTATTTTTTTAATTCTTTTAAATTCACTATTTTATAAGACTAATGAAAGGTAAATTTTGTAAAATAATATATATATATATATATATATATATATATATATATATATATATATATATATATATATATATATATATATATATATATATATTTAGATATTTTTTGTGATCATTAGAGTAATAGTAAATCAAATTTCACAAATTTTCAATGATAAAAAGAAAATAATAAAATACAAATAAAAATAGGTTTACCATACTGTTTTTGGTAAAAGCTGTAGCTGTACAATACGGTTAGGTCAAAAGCAGTTACACCAATAAGAACAAAAAAAAAAGGAATACTGGTAACTAAATAAATATGTAATCAATAATCATATTTATTAAAATATAATGGATGATAATCATAGGTATAACTATAAATTGGATACAGTAAAACAGTAAAAACCGTAATATTAGGAAATAAAATAGGAGTATTTCGAAATAAAATATATTAAATTATATTGAACTTAAAACCAGGTCAAAGCCTGAAAATAAACTTTATATTATATATATAGAAAAATATCTGAAAAATGCTAAACCCTTATCCAAGAAAGAAGGTTTTAGCTTCATAAAAAAAAAAAGGTTTTCAAGAAGATAGAAAGAAAGATTGTCATGGATGATCCAACTAGCAAGAATGAGAATGGAGAAAGGTGTGTGATGTTGTTTGGCGTGAACATCGCAGCAAAACGTTCTAGAGTTGAGGACATGATGATGATCGAAAGTTTTAACACTGAGGATGAAAATCAGAATGGGATGGAGCTTTGTTCTTTTGACAAACAGGAGGATGAGAGTGATGATGAGAGGAATGAAACTCATGATTCTTGTCAAAGTCTCAGCCTCGAAAACCGAAAAAAAGGTATGTATTTGGGTCTAGTGTGAACACTTTAGTATTTAGGGTTTCAACATGTTATTTTTCTGAAGTTTTTGAAATTGTTATTGTAGTGAAACAATGGACAAAGAATGAACACAAGGAGTTTTTGGTAGGTTTACAAACGGTTGGGAAAGGTAAATGGAAGGATATAGCTAGGCATTATGTGAAGACCAAGACTTCTACTCAAGTTGCTAGTCATGCACAGAAGTATTTTCTCAGGAAAAGAACATTTGAAAAAACAAAGCGCCATAGCGTCTTCGATATGATGCTTGTATGGTTTTCTTTCTTTGATGTGTGGTTTTTATTTATTTATTATCTATACATTATGTATAAAAGTTCATGATTATAACTTAATATTATAGGATGATGAAGATTCAGAAACTCCGAGTCCTTCTCCGTCGCGGAAACCATCCCCTAGCCACTCTATATAGAGGTAAGTCTAGAAGTTACATTTGATGCATTGTTACATTGATTGCATTATGTGGTTTGGTTATGATCTCTCACTCACAAGTTATTTTTGCTGCTTTTTGATTTTGATGTTGTAGGAGAGGAAGTGCTATTATGAAGAAATCAACTAGTGTGAATAATATATACATCTAACAACAATAGTTTAGGTTTAGTTTTTGCTTGAGCTGTTTTATATTATAATTTGAACAAGATAGGGATCATGTGGTATTCTTTATTCTTTCAACATCAAATTGTTCAATTTTATTTCAGTGCTTACTCTATTTGAATGACTCACTTGTGAGAATTAAAATTTGGTGGAGATATCATATTTGCGGCGAATGATTTCCAACTTTGCAACATATATGCAGATTTGGAACATTTCAATTAAGTTCTAATTTAATTGAATAGAATGATAGTTTATTATATTTTGTTAAATCAGCTCAGTTGATAGTTGGACAGAAACAACATATACAAATGTACGAGTTCTATTAGGGTAGCCTAGACCCTAGACTAAACTTTGCCTAAATAAGGCAACATTTGTTATGCAGAACAGTGGTCTAAGCCTCAGCATCACTTGTTAACTAAGAGAGATGAAGTCAATATAACCATTCCTCCATCTCAATATATAGTATCTGGTTTGTTGAAAAGTTACAAAAATGAATTGATTCCAGCTGTTAAAGTTCACTTAATAGCTGCAAATATATTCACCCTAGAAAACCAATGATGTCTAGGATAATTGCATTAGTGGTTGTGAATACATGGTTCCTTTCTTTAGTGATTCTAATTAGGATTCTCACTTTTTTTTTATGTTAAATAAATTAAAGATGTTAGTTAGAAATTAAAAATTGTTAAGAATAACTTCATTTTTTAGTACCAAAATATCCTAACTTCTAACATTTTCTTTTAAACTAATGGGATATATGTAAATTCGCACCTGTGTGGTATACTTAATTGTGACCAATTAATTGTTAATTAATAAAATTATAACAATAATTAAATTAAAAATATATAAAAGAAAGATAGATGTAAAGAAAAATAATACTCCATCCGTCTTATATTGTAAGATAAATTCAACTTTTAGATTTATCGAATAAATTCATTTTTATATACACCAAATACATTAATTATTCAATGAATCTAAAAAATGAATTTCTTTTATAATATAAGACAGATGAAGTAATGATTAAGAACACAAATTATATCTGATAACAGTTACGAAGTTTGATTTAAGATCGCTTTTGATTAAAGATCACTATTGATTAAAGATCACTAATGTAAAAAACAATACATCAAAAAATTAGAAATAATTTATTTTATATACATGACATTTATTATTTGGAGAAGTTAGATTAAGTTTAAATCAGATTTTGTCACCAGATTTGAACATATTGGATTCACAAAAACTGTTTAACTCGTATGTTAATTTAGTGTAGTATAGATCATCAACGTTCAACAAAGTAAATATCTTTGTCTTTTCGTTATCACCACACAACATAAGAAAATGATAGTCACAATTCTTTAAAATTGTTGCAAAGTCGACCTGTCATTTCTATTTAAAAATAGTGGATTGAGTTTCCTCGGCTTAAAAAAAAGTTAGACTAAATGAAAAAGAAAAAAGATAGAAAAGCTTAATTAATTTTGGTAGTACCACATTAATAGGTGTGAGAGAAACTTCGAATGCAAAAATGTCTTTGTGGTAGAGATATCTTTTGACATATAAATGTCAATGTTACATAAATATGTCTCCCTACATGTAATTGTATGGACATACGCAAAGTAACGGTTACAAATACCTTTTGAGGAAATGATTGATTGGTCCCAAATCTTCATTGATGGACAGTTTGATAACATTGTATGTGTTGGTAACAAAAAGAGGATATTTGCCTACACGAATAATTATATGAATCACGTTAGAGTAAACGGGTTGTTAGCAAAACAGGATGCACAAAACAAAGTAAAGGGGATATAGAGCACCTTCTTCTTTTACTTTAGCATACTGAAGTAAAATGACAACTGACAAGGAAGAATCGGTCTGTTGTTGGATATACTTGACAAATTGCATTGCGTACGCCTCTCATAGGGTACAGTTAATAGTATTGTTTCTACAAAATGCGAAGGTATAGTTAATAGAATGACAAAATAACATGAATACGTTTAGGGTAAGGTTAGCGTGAACTTGAAAATATGAAAATACACCTCAAGTCACGCAAGACCAAGTTGACATGTTGCTTCTTACCACCAACATGACCCTGTGTGTACCCTATTTCATCTACCATTCCGTTTACATCTTTAAAAATGAGGATAAATATGAAGTGGATGCAAATAGTACGTAAATACAATCATTGAGAAAAGAAAGGCATAGTGTTACCTATCAGAATACATTTTTTCCACCGGTCGGTTATAATATCAACTAAATGAGTTAACTTTATTTCCTTGTTTGGTGTTTGATGCTTGTTTTTATCACCAACTGTGGTACCTCTAGTGAATTTAAAGAGATATTTGTGAGGTGAAGGTTTGAAAACCATATCATTAACTTGAACCCGGAAGTTCGCAATAGTGCAAGTGTCGTTTACAACTAAAATAGAATCAAAAGTTTTCATATATATTGGGGGTACAACAACATGTATATCACTCCCATGTAAAGGAAAGACCAACAAATATAGTTAAAACCAATGTTTAAGCAACCAAAGCTTATTTGAACCATAGTGTTTAGATATGTATCAAACAATGGTAAAATATTAGAACGACATATGTGTTCGAACAAAACAAACCAATGATACGCAACTATAATGAGTTTATCAAAATTGTAAAACATTTGCGGACATCATTGGTGTTCAAACAAAAAAAAAGAAATGATATGCAACTATCATTAGTTTGTCAAAACATTATAACAACATCTAGAACAAAAAACAATACATTATATGTATCACATACCGACATAAAGAAATAGTTTTTCATGCTATATCATCAAAATAAAACAATGATATACAATAATTTAGGGTTTGTCATCAGGTAACCATCTTCACAATGGTTTATGTTAAAACACGCGCAACAATGAAGCAAAAATAGGGTTGTCCAATCAAATTCACCTCCTTGTCATAGAAAACCATATCAAAATGTTCCTTGGTGTTGGTTATCACATTCCATATGTGGTGGACTTTAACTGCAACTTTCCAAAGTTCCTTATTATCGTTTATATTCTTAACTGTCTCAAAGGTCTTTCCATGGAAACCAGAGGGAAAATACAGTTGAAGGTGAAATATGAAAGAGAATGCAATGTGTAATACGGTGGGAGAACCAACTTGGGTGTTTTGCATTTTATCGCAATTGTTGCGGATAGCAAGAGTCACCACTGACTTTTCTTTTATCCAATAAAGGAAAGGGTGAAAAGAACAGGAAATATCTTTTGGGAATTTTCTTGAGTTCGGGGGGTAGGTTATGAAAAGCGAAGGTGTTAGCACCATTTTCATCCATAGTTATCTACGGACTCTTAATTGCTACCTCACTTTGAAATACTTTGTAAAATGTGTTTGTGTTTGTTTGAAAGTATTTTTGAAAAGTGAATTCCCTTAGGAAAACTTTATAATGATTCTCTCTCTATAAGAATGTATACAAAGTGTTGACTTTTGAAAATATTTCATGAAAGTGTTGGTGTGTTTGTTTTGTTTTGAAATGTTTGTGAGCAAGAAACTACGAGCATTCTACCTACTCAAAAGAAGTCTTTGTTCTTTTCCTCCTCCTTTAGATAGTGTTAACTTACCATTAGTTAGTAAGAAACCTTATCGTTGGATGTGAAGGGACAGGCGTGGGTCATCGTATAGTCATAGAAGGCAAAATTGTAGGATACTTTAGCAATTTGTCGTCAGGGACTAAGATCGTTTACCGAAGGCAATGTCGAAGGGTCATCGAGGGACTACAATCTTGTAATTGAGGTTCTTTGCTAAAGCATCCCACGTTCGAGGGACATGATTTTTTTAATCTAAGGCAACAAGTATGGGTTAACCCTAGAGGTGTAAGTGTGCAAAGTGTTTTTTTTTTCATGCATTTGTCTTGAATTAGGGTTGTCTATTATTTGATTTTAAATCTTTCCATACAAACTCTAATTACTAGCAATAATATGGAAAGAGGTAAATGACGGAAATTAAATATCCTACGCTATTACAATATTTTTGGGAATGAGGGATATAAATTTATAAATGGGGATGACGAATAAAGTAAACTCTAATTACTATTACGAGGCTTTGACAATTACATAAATTATAATGCGAAGTAGTAGAATATACAAAAATGTAAAGATAAAGAAAGAGATAAGAAAATTGTTTTTTATGGTTTTTGATAGGAGAGGTTTCCTAATTTAAACTAATTAATTATAAGAAAAGTTAATTAAATATTTAACGAAACCTAAAAATCTAATTTGATTAAACCCTAAGTCTAATTTAATTGAGAAAAGAGAATTAAATAAAACCTAATGTCTAATTATTTTTAAATTTTGAGAAAAAGATTAATTAGTTAGGAAACTAATTTTAGTGTTTTATTTCTAAAAATAAATAAAGTAAAAAAAATAAATTAGAAAATTTTTTGTCTAATTATTTAAGAAAATATATTTTTGTATTTTAATAAAATAGAGCAAATAAATAAATAAAAATAGAAAATATAAAAAGATTGGGCCATCTGTTAAAAAAGTAAAATGAGGTGTAAGATAATCATTTTTGGTTAGGCCCAAAATAAATTTTTTGAAATTAGAAAATAAAAAAGGATAAATGGGCTTGTGGTTAGTAAGCAGTTAGGGGGTGGTGTTCAGCAAAACAAATGAAAGCCCAAAACAAAGGAGGCCCAGGCGCTGCAAAACAACAAAAATCAGACAAAAATAATATGAAAAAACACAAAAGGGTACAACTGGGGCTCGAATTCAGGTCCCTATAGTTCCAAGCCTTATACACGCACTCTCTAACACTAAGGTGGCTATACATCCGATATTTAGAATACAAACCAATAAATATATTATAAACCTTGTTCTGAACATGTCATCTTCTTCTTCCTCGCTCCAGGATGTTCTTCACCATTTTTGAAATCTGTAACTTCCTCATTTCTCAACCAAAATGGAAAATGTAAACATGAAAGTTGCTTGAAACTTAACCATGATTTCAACCATGTAAATAACTAAAGTTATGGATCAAAGATGAACACGAATTTCTGTTGGTACCAAATTTAACCTAACTTTTTCAGAAAGTTTAAACTCAAAATTCTCTATGCTCAGGCAATATAAATGAAATCTAAAAGCATGGTTAGTTTCATGGCAATGATGTCCACATTTTATCTTTGAAAATCAAAGTCAAATGATGCTTGTATGAAGAGTTGAAAGTTTAGAAAACTTACCTTGAAAATGGAAATCATATTCTGAGTTTGAGCACTCTTCAAGGTGTTATAATGATCTGGACAACTTCAGTGGACTCCTAGAAAGCTAATGCAATGCTTAGCCTGAGCTGAGAGTGCTTGAGTTGTTCTGGAGAAGTCAATATGCACCACCCTATTTTTGGTTATGGAGGATGATGAAGGACGTATTACACTTGTGTAATAGATGTTTTATTAGGTTCTAGATGATATATAGATGTTTTGTGATTGATTTTAAGGAAGAACGCACGAGTGGGATATGCGTTTGGGGTGTAAGGTTAGAATCATCACAAAAATGGTGTTTTGAGGCAATTTCTGGTTTGAGGGAGTTTG